TTTCCTACAGGTTTCTTATTCCTCTCTACTTCGGCGATGTGTGCTGTCCTTCTATCTTCAAAGTTGTTCAATGGTAAATTTAACGGCCTTCCCCTCCGTGAAACATGGCATTATAAGACAATGGTTTAAAGACATGCTTATTCATTCTTTGTATGCATTAAAGACACGGAAATACTCCATCCTCTCCTTAGTTGCTAGTTGTAGTTAGTCTGTTGAGAGATTCTAACAATAAGCAAATTCTAGTGGTATGCTGACCTGCAAATGAGATGATGTCATGTTTGGGAGATCAGCTCTGAATGTTCTCCTTCTCATAGATGCAGTAGCAATTAAAGATCAGACTTTCACCCCTGTGCACCAAAATAACAAATTTTGCAATTCTGTAATATGAAAGAAAAACAATTTTTGCAGTCCCCCAAAACTACTCTGAATCAGTTCAACTATTTTATAACAATTTATTGTAAACTTGTGGAAATTTTTTTTTACACCAAACCAGGATTAAAATAACAACCTGCCATTCAATCTATATTTAGGCCTTTTAGTTGCAACCTGTGCAAACAAATGCATGAATGGTTTATTACTAAATCAATCAAAAGGGTGATGAGACAAAACGAAACACCTTGAGTTCCTACTTTTGCTTTTCAAAAAACTTTTCTATTTGGGGAGAAACAAAAGAAAAATAAATAAGGAAAAAAATCATAATGACAGCAGTATATCACTAAGAACTCCAAGCAGAAGGATTTTTCATCTCAATGACTGTGCAACTTCTGAGAAATGACTGTTGACTTAAAGCTGAATTGACTCAATGTGCGTAAAAGCTCTGACCCAACCTAACAGACTCCTGTTTCACAAGTCCCACTTCCAGGATGCAATGGTTTGTCTTTGCCGGCTCGTTACGTCACTCCCTGCGCTAATTGCAGGAGAGGCTGCAAAGTTGCTATTTTCAACTATTCATTCCGGCTATTTGCTGTGCAGAGCTCCGGGCGGAAACGGACCTTGAGCAAACTCTGATGTCCCCTGTCTGAGCGCCACACCAGGAACAACCTAATGCACAGTGATTTCTACCAGAGGAACAACTTTACAAGCTAATGCAACAGGAACAGAACAAAGTGGTTTTACTGTTACTGCAGGACATGATGCACTGTGAGGCAACAAGCTAAACGTGCGCTCTGCAGACAGAATGCTCGGTTCTGATCTAATTCTTTTTTTTCCTGGAAAATAAAGGAAAAAGACTGCAGGACGCGGAGTGCTGGCATGCGGTGCGCTCAGTGTTCACTGCTGCCGGATATCATGGAGGAGGGGGAACGGCTCAAATCTAAGTCAGATGAAAAATGGGCAACTGCAGGCCCAACTACAGAGAGGAGGCCTGACCACGCATCCCTCTAATTCCCCCCACCCTCCCACTGCCCTTCCGCTTCCTCCACAGGAAACCGGATCGCCAGTTACCCTCCAAAGCATAAATGATTAAATATGGGGTGGAGGCTTTAAAAATAGAAGCTTCACACTGGAGAGTTACCAAGGAAACGGAAAAAATGAGTTCTGCTGCAGCTTTAAATAGAAATAGGGTTTTTTAAAAGCACCTCTTTAGGTGGAGCCTGACGGCAGATTAAAGACTAGGCTGACGTTTCAAATCACAAGCAACATTACGCTTGTTCAAAGTGCACACGCACACTCAATCTGCTGTTGTAAGTTTTGCTTTCTTGACCTTTGGACTCATTGTTCCATGTCGTGCCTCTCATGTCAACACAGCTGTGGCGTTTAAACACACAGCAGCTAGGCGTGAGTGGCTGCGAGAGGGAGAGTGGCGTCAGAGCGGGGCCGTGCACCGACACGCTGTGCTACTACAGACCCTAGAAACTTCCACCGCTAACCCAAACACTAACGCATCATGGCTGATACTCATGCACTCCTTTTTTTATCTATTAGATGCTGTGTGCAAATATCTAGTGCATCCAAATATGCCTTGGAAAATTAACAAAATAATCTGTGCACCGCTGCCCTATATGTTTAGTGGGTATATAAAAAGAAACGTTGATAAATATAGTGTTTTCCGGACATGATCGCTTGGGGAAACACCATCACGCGTCATTTGGACGTCTCGCTACTCCAACAGACCCCCTTTAAATGAGCAGAGTAATAACATCTCATCTCAAAAACCTGCAGAAAACTTCAAATCTGCATCCGTTTAAAGCCGGTAACTCGAAGCAGGAAAGCATGTATAACATGTAGGGGCATTGTGTCCCAATCAACTGTGCAGCCTCTGTTTATTTAGAAGTATTCAATAATACTAATGCATTAAAAATGAATAACTGGCTTTAAAAGTTTGCTTTATAATAAAAAACATCTCTCTGTATTTCTGCAGTGAAGGAGGTAACCTATAATAATCTGAAGCACAGGTCATTAGACTGACTGCTCAAGAGGAGGAGCAAATGTGCTCAACCACAGAGGTTGCCTCTGAATAAACAGGCAGCAATATTCTCTTTTTACATAAACTCCCCTTTAATGTGCAAGGAAACCACAGCAAATTGCTAAATTAATACTTTTCTGGAATTTACAGACCTTTATAAATACGCTACCAAAAAGACCAAAATCCAATGAACAAACAACGCTACATATCCCAAGTGTCGATCCAGATCGGCCTTTTTGAGCCTAAATAGAACCTCAGCATCGGGTGTGATGAGCTGACATGGTGCCATCTGCTGGCCGTACCACTGAACTACCAGAAAGCCCGACGGAGGTCTGGATGCAGCTGCTAAAGCTTTGCTAACACCAGTAGACCTATTAGCAAAGACGTGTCTATCAACTTCACAGCGACATCAGAATGCTTCCTGAGGTTTAGCTCCAGCTTCTAACGGTCAGACTGTTTTCCCAGAGCAAGTCCAGTTTTATTGCTCTTGGAATCAAAAATCTTCTTCTAACTTTTTACACTTGATCTTGGACTTTTTTCCCCCCTCAACTATA